GTGTGTGTGTGTGTGTGTGTGTGGAGGGGGGCTGGGGATTTAGCTCAGTGGTGCTGCTGCCTGTCAATGAATTAGTGGAAGGCATCTGCCTTCTTGAAAAAAAAAACCAGTGCTTCGCTTATAATTATGGTTCTTTAGTTTGATAAAGTTATCAGATATTGCTATAAATATCACGTATATTTACTGCTCACTGTAAAACAGTATCACTTCTAATTGTTAGTAATTATTTGAAGTCCTATAAAAGTTTCTGTAACTCTGGAATCGTACAACTGATTTTGTTTTAGTTTAATTTTTTGTTTTAGCTAGTTCCATTCAAAATAATTTTCAGATCATTTAAGTTTTTCAATTTAGAAACAAGATACATTGCCCAACTGTCACATGACTTCTGGTTAATGGTAATAGCTAAAACCGAGCTTGTATCTGTGTTTACTTGTCAACTCTATAAATATTAAAGCAGTAAATTCAACCTTGTAAACTAAACAGCGATTCATCAGGCAGGTTAAACATAAAGCTTAAATGATATATTTGGCAAGAAACAAAGAGGTAAATTCATAATTTTCAGTGACAGAAACTTAATGGCAGAAATATTTCATTAGTCTTTCCCCCTAGAATTGTACACTTTGTTGGCTGAGTCTTTCTTGGTCAAAAGTTTACTGCACGAATAGCCAGCTGAGGACATGCTAACTTTTTCTTTTCTTAGCCATACTGTGACAGCTGGGCACATCTGAAAACATAGCAAGTGTCCAGAAGATGCCAGCCTGGGCTGTGCAGCTTGGGAGATGCAGTAAATATTAGCACAGCTCCAGAGAACGCAGAGCTGCCTCCCTCCCTCTGGTATTTGAATGGATCAGAGGACCGTAAGACCTGCCTTGAACTGTAGGATGTATAAGGAACCTTGCATGTGCTCCATCTTTTGGATTCTGGACTGTAAACTTTCTTTCACCATTTACCTCACATTGAAGCAAAAATTTCCCTTTCTTGTGTCCTGGTCAGAACAGGTATTTACATGTCCTACTGGTGGATGAATGGAGTCACATTTTACCCTAAGTAGGTCAGCAGTGTATTTGAATGGATGGAACAGATTTACTATGATGTTCTGTTAACTAAGTCAAGGTGATTTCAGCCAGTGAAGGGGAGGAAGATGGCAAAACACGGTTGTAGCTAGCAAGATTCAAATTGTTCTGAAGGCTTCAGGAAAGTATATGAAAAGTTCTGTTATTTTGCACTTCATTTGGAAAATGAAAGAACTGGCATCAAGAGGGATCCTCAAAGAGCATTCATACCAATTACTGAACAACTCTAATTTTTCCAGAAGGAAGCTGGGTATGTGATAGATGGTCAGTTAGCCTCTGCTGGAATTCTCAGGCTTTTCTGAAGTTGGC